TGCTGTTATAGCAGTGCACCAGACACGGACTAGTGCAGAGTAGGACATCAGCGCACATGAATATACTCCTGGAGCATCCCACAGGCATCTGTTTCTGTAGCACTGCACAACGGCGTCCTTCCCCCAAACCAAAATGCCATTCCCACATCATAAGCTGATGTGTATTTGCAACAAAGTAGATGGATATCATCACACAGCTCTGAACATGCATGAGCCAGCACAGAAAGGAACAGGGTTGTAGACTGCCAGTGCGCCTGGATGGAAAAGTACAGAGCACACATGTTAGCAACTGTACAGCGGCAAGAATGCTGTGTCCACCACACACAGATGTACTGTAGCAGAAATGAGCATAGAATTACCAGAATGCAGTGTACATGAGAATATTATTATAGCCTGGACATTGAAGCAGCAGTGCAGAAATAGTGTAGTGTGTGCTAGTGTCATAATATTGTTGTACCGGTGAAATTACTAGGGGTAGCCCATAGAGAGTGGCACTATTAGGAGATGTGGCCTTGCTGGAGTAGGTGTGTCTTTGTTGGAGGCAGTGTGTCACCCGGGGGTGGACTTTGAGAGCTCAGAAGCTCAAGACTGGCCAGCACGTCACTGTCACTTCCTGCTGCCTGTGGATCCAGATGTAGACCTCTCTGCTAGCTCTGCAGCACCAAGTCTGCCTACATGCCGCCATGCTTCCCGTCATGATGATAATGGACTAAGCCTCTGAGCTGTAAGCCAGCCCCAGTGAAATGCTTTCCATTATAAGAGTTGCTGTGGTTATAGTGTCTATTCACAGCAATAAAACCCTAAGATACTAACACGCCAGAACACATGGGTGCTCATGACCACGTATGTGTGAGTACAGCAGCTCACGTGGAAGCACTAGCAGAGAAGCACACATAGAGTCAATACCCATGATCGCTCCTGTATCAATGAGTCCATGTGCATCATGCAGACACGTGAGTGTACACAGATGCACTGTTGTATAAATGCACACTGATGTTATACTACAGCAGGACTCACTAAAGTACTGTATCATTTATTCAAGTCAGTGGTTGTACTAGGCTTTTGCTTTTAGGCCACCAATCAGCTCCCAAAGCATGACACAGAGACTTATTATTAGCTATGAATGTTCAACCTTAGTTTTTACTCATTTCTGGCTAGCTTTTTTTCTTTAATTTAAACTAGCCTGCTCCTTGCCAGAGGGTGGTGGCACACGCCTTTAATCCCAGCACTTGGGAGGCAGAGGCAGGAGGATCTCTGTGAGTTCAAGGCCGGGCTGGACCGACAGCCTCCAAAACTATACAGAGAAACCCTGTCTTGTAAAAACAAAAAACAAAAAAATCTAGCCTGCAGCCTGCTCCTCTTCATCTACATTCTGCTTTGGGGCTTTTTACCTTCTTTCTTTCTGCATACCTTACCTGCTGCCTCTGTGTCTGTCTGTCTGTCTGACTGGCAGGTGTCTGGCTTCTGGTCCCAGGCATGTCTCCCTCCTCATTCTCTTCTTCCTTCTCTCTGCTTCTGAACCTAGGTTTCCACTTCTATTTCTTCTCTCTGCCTGTCAGCCCCGCCTATCCCTCTTCTGCCTAGCTATTGGCTGTCCAGCTTTTTATTAGATCAATCAGGTGCCTTAGGCAGGCAAGGTGAAACAGTAACACATCTTTCCATGATTAAAAAAATGCAGCATAAAAAAGTAACACATCTTTACATAATTAAACACACATCCTTACATCATTAAACAAATGCAGCATAAACAAACGTAACCCACCTTTACACAGTTAAACTAACATCCACACCACACACAAATGTAACACATCTTTACATAGCTAAATATCCCACAAATGGTTCTCAACCTTCCTAATGCTGCGACCCTTTAAAACAATTGCTCATGTTGTGGTGACCTCCCCCAACCATAGAGTTATTTCACTAATACTTCACTACTATAATATTGCTGCTGTTATGAACTGTAATGTAAATATCTGATATGTGACCCCCAAAGGTTGAGAACCACTTGTTTAAGAGCTAGCCAGGGACACGAAAGAATACATTAGTATATCAACACACCCACACACACACACACACACACACACACACACAGACACATACACGAATGAACTAATAGAGCACTGTGCAGATGACTATTGCTAAAGCACTACACAATGGCGTCTTTGCAAAAGCAGATTTGCCACTGCTGCAGAGAAACTGATCCGCACCAACAACTAACTAGATGTACTTGTAAAGCTCTCACATGCTTGAGTTAGCACTGCAGGCCACATGTTTTGAGGAGAACAGCAGCGCACCAGGATGGACTGGGGCAACTGGAGAGTTCTTTTGCTCACACACCACACACGGGTGTGCTGTGTCAGAAGTGATGCTGGAAAGCATCGAACGTGAGAATACCGTGATAGCAGTGCACCTGGACATTGAAGTAGGAGTGCAGAAATAGGACGATTGTAGGAGTGATTGTGTGTGCTCTTGTAACGGAGCACATTTCAGGCATGACTACAGCCATACAGTGATGCTCTTATACAGAATGCACGCAGTCGTAATGCTACAGCAGTACTCGCAGAAACACAGCATCAGCACCCATCTGTGCTGCCAGGAACACAGGAGACACTAGCAGAGCAGCGCACACACTCTGACTTTGCACAAGCACACGTCCTACTAACTGCATCATAGATTGACGTGCATTCGCAATGAGGCACACGGATGTGCCAGTGCAGCCCCAGGAATGCCCGAACACGAACAGCAGGGCACACGTCTCTACAAGCATGGCAGTGCGTAGGGGTGGACGAGCACACGGTGCAGAGGAAGGGATGGCCAAGAACAAAGACAGTTGTGCTAACACAGTGCACACAGATGTAACAGAAACAGTTACTGGCCTACTTGAAAGAGGTACGCTTGAGAATATTGTAGGAGCACGTCTACACGTTGAAGCACAGTGTGCACTGCTTGCCGAGTGTGCGTTTTACGGTGTATTTTCTAGCACATCAAAACACAGAGATGTTCCAGAACTTGCGTGGTCATTCCTGTGATATTAAATCTGTGTACTCTGCTTGTATTTCCACGGGAGCTGCTGTGCTGGTACATCCGTGTGGACTGCTATGTGTGAGCATTCGTGTGTTCTGATGTGCTGGCGCATCCGTGGACTGCTGTGTGTGAACACTGGTGTGTTCTGATGTGCTGGCGCATCCGTGGACTGCTGTGTGTGAACACTGGTGTGTTCTGATGTGCTGGCGCATCCGTGGACTGCTGTGTGTGAGCATTGGTGTGTTTTTATGTGCTGGTGCATCCACATCGACTGCTGCGTATGAGCATTCGTGTGTTCTGATGTGCTGGCGCATCCATGGACTGCTGTGTGTGAGCATTCGTGTGTTCTGATGTGCTGGCGCATCCGTGGACTGCTGTGTGTGAACACTGGTGTGTTCTGATGGGCTGGCGCATCCGTGGACACACTGACACTGGGCTGTCAGTGAGCATTACTCTATGCACGCACTAGTGCTTCAGTGTCACGGTGCACGACTGTAATAACATCTGTTGTCTATGGTCACTTCTGGTACATCTGTATGGTGCATTAGTGCAACACAGCCGTTCTTGCCAGAACTCCCGTTTTCACTTTGCACTTGTCCACCCCAGCGCCCTGCTGTACTCCTAAAACATGTGTGGCTCTTCTAGTTCAGGCACGCCTACAGGCGCCTCCGCCTGCTTCGTTGTGAGCGTACATCAGTTTATGCTGCAGTGGTACAGAGTTTTTTGCAGGGACCACTGTGCAGTGCATTAGGAATAGATGTGTGCACAGTGCTCTATTGATAAATCCACACACACCTACACCCCTCCCTCCCCCTCTGCCTCAGGATTCCCCCAGCTCTGCCTAATGTTTGGCTGTGGCTCTCTGCATCTGTTTCCATTAGCTGCTGGATGAAGAAGCCTCTCTGATGACAGTTGGGTGAGGCATCAATCTATGAGCACAGCAGAATATCATTGGGAATCATTTCATTGACTTTTTTTGTCAGTCATGTTTGGTTATATCTTAGGTCTCTGGGGTATCTCTTCTGGGTCCTGGCCCTCAGAGGTGAGCTCCCTCTCAGGGTACGGATCTCCAGCTGAGTCAGTCATTAGTTGGTGACTCCTACAATTGTGTCATTCTTACCCCAGCACATTGTGTAGGCATGGCATATTGTGGGTAAAGGGTTTTTGACTGGGTGGTGTCCCAATCCCTCCACTGGAAGTCTTGCCTGGCTACAGGAGAGGACTGGTTCAGGCTCCTGTCTCCAATTGCTAGGGGGCTTAGCTAGCGTCACCCACGTACATTCCAGGGATTTCCGTTACTCTAAGTTTCTAGCTCATCCTAAAGAGGCCCCCAGATCCCAGGTGCCTCTCCCAACACTGTCTCCCTCCATCCTCCCTCCACTTGACCCCTCCTGCTCCCATCCCTTCTCCCTTCCTGCCATGACACCCACCCTCCAGCAGTCCATTCTATTTCCCCTTCACTGAGAGCCTCATGCACCCGCCGCCTTGAGCCCTCCTTGTTGCTTGGCTTCTCTGGGTCTGTGATTGTAGCCTGGTTATCCTTTACAGCTAATATTCACTTATGAGTGAGTACACACCATGCTTGTCTTTCTGGGTCTGGGTTACCTCACTCAGATGATCTTCTCTAGGTCCATCCGTTTTGCAGCCAAGATCCTGATGTTATTTTTTTAACAGCTGAGTAATACTCCATTGTGTAAATGTGCTACATTTGTTTTCCAATGGTAGAGAGAAAGAAAGAGTGTGGACTTGGATGGGGGGCTAGGATCTAGGAAGATTTGGGGGAGGGGAAGCCATCCGTTTTCAATTAAAAATTTTAAATAATTGGAAGTCTTTTATTTATTTATTTATTTATTTGCTTGTTTACAACTTCCCAAACATTATTAAATGAAATAACAGTGGTAGTAAATCTCTAGAACATAGTTCGTTGTCTAGGATTCCTCCATCAACAATGTGTTATTTGATTTGTAAACACACAGCAGTTGGGAGACACAGAGGGAAGACCAATCCTGCTGAGGACCTGGATCCAGACGCAATTGCCGCAGGTGAAGTTCTCAAGGTGACCACCAGAGGGAGGCCTCAGCCAAGTTACTGAAGGAATTGGGTCCACGCTGAAATTCTGCAGCCTGGTAGACAGAGTCCTCTTGGAGTCCTGGAAAGGAACCTCACCCAGAAGGGACCACCGGGATTAAAGCTGTCCTGGGGGTGGGCAGTCGAGAAGAGCTCCCCATTGCTCCTGCTCATCTCTCAGCTAAGAATCCGAGACCGTGTACTGTCGCCAAAGAGCAACAAAGTTCGGTACAGAGACCAGGAAGAGCCCCGCAATTTGAGAACAACTGTTCTCAGCTCCAGTAGCAATGTTGCAAGCTGAAACTTGAGCCTGATTTCATCCAACGTTGTGGAGGTCGTAACACCTAAGGCACAGGGAAGGAGGGGATGAGGCAGGGGAAGGGAAGCCCTCTTATATACCGCCCCCCCCCAGGAGATACGAACAAAGATTTACTCACCCCTAGACACAACAGAAACAAACCACGCCACCCTGGTGGGGCACAGTGACGGATGAATTTAAGCACGTGCAGTTTGCACTACTGAAGGAAAACTCTTAACCCAGCAAGCACTGTGCATAAATTCTGGGAGGGGCGGGGCCGCGTGAGCCCTTCCTTCTAGCTACTTTACCTATAAACGTCCCCCTTTCTTACCCTCTCCACCTCGCACATGCACCAGTAAACCTTAACTTGGAGGGCAATTTGTGAGCCTGTCCTCCCTCCACGACAGAGTCAATTGGTCTAACCTTAATGCAGGCCTCCTGTGGGAATCACCTGCTAACTCTTTAAGAGGGCATCCGTGTCTTGGACTGAGGCCAGCCTGCCTCCACAAGCCCAGAGACCCTGGAGCAGAGGGCTCTGCACTGCCATTCCTGGAGGCTGGCTCTGCACTAGTGAGGAGCGTGGAGCCTCACTTGGGCCCCGGGGCCCCACAGGACCTCCATGCCACCACACGTGTTTCTTTCCCACCGAGTTGGAATTTTGCAAAGCCTGGTTTAAAGTATAGGCTACAAAGGCGTTGTCCACGTTTGACCTGGGGGGGGGATTGTTTAGAGCAGAGAGTCTGTGGCTAAGAAGACAGCGGCACTGTGGTGGACTTGGCAGTCAGAGGAAGGATAGAGGGAGACTCTTGGGCTGTCCGCGGCAACTACACTTCTTTCTTGACTCTCACAGGCCCAGAGGGCAATGGTGAACATCAGGAAATGCATTCCAGAGCAGTTTTCCAGTGTGAGCACATGAAGGGTACGGAGGTAGCAAGAGCCAGAGGTCACTTTTAAAAGCCTTATTGGCACAGCTTTCACAGAACATGCATGTCACCTGTTTAAGGCTCCATCCAGTGTTCTACAAATATCCACAGACATAGGCTCCCATTCCCACAGTCAGTCCTGGGACACTTTCACTACTTCAGGAAGAAATGCTTTTATATTTCTCCCTTCCTGTATATCTCTATGTACTTGTGTCCCCACACTTAGCAACCATGTATCTACTTAGTTTCTCTATAGGCTTTTCTATTCTGGACTTCATATTAATCGAAACTTACATCATAGTGGTCTTTTGTGACTGGCTCTTTAGTAAGCATAATGTTTTCATGATCTACTCACAGTAAAGCACAGAACTTTTCTCTTTTAGTGGCAGAATAATATTCCACTGCGTGGACACACCACATTTTGTTCACTGATGACCATTTGGATTCTTCCTTTCTTTGATCTATCACAAACATGCTACAAACACAGACATGCTACAAACACAGACGTATGTCGGTGTGAACATGAACAGCCTTCATTTTTCTTGACTGAGACTAGACTAATGATGGGGTCATATGGTGACTCCACGTTTAATCACTTGACAACTACCAGGTGTGAATTTTTCCAAAGTGACTGGTGTGAACTAAAATACTTGAAAAGAAACCATTTGTACCTGTGAACAAAAACCTCTTGGAAGAAGTTTCTGTGTCTGCAGAGAATGATGGACCGATGTGTTGTTTTTAACAAATCTCAATCATTTGATTTTACCAAAAAAGACTCGGGAAGAAGATGCTGGGGTGTCAGCCTGTTAGTTCAGAGTCAGAGAAAACACCCAGCTGATCTTCCTCCTCCACCAGCATCTCAAAAACCTCTCCTCTTTCCTACCATCTCAAACCAATCTCCTCCATATCCATCCTCTCCACTCCCCCTTACTCTTCATGGTTTATTCTTACAATCCTATGTTCGATTCCTGTCAACTGGTTGCTTGCTCCGCCTCTTGGCCTATGCTGACTTTATTTTACCTCGTTTACAGTACTCAAGCAGGAAGCTCTTGGATTAAAGGAGTGTGCTAGGGCTGAGCCACACCACAACTAGAAACAGGTCTTTCCAGTAAATAATGCAATCTCAGCGTTCAGTGTGATCAAATACCCTGCAACACTGATGTTTGCAGGAATTTTGGTGTTGTAGAGATTGGAATTTTGTAGGTTCTGGGGCTAATTACTTTATCTTGGGCTAGTTTTAGCCTTCTGGAACAGCCTTCCCTTGGCCCACTCTGCTACTAATTTAGAACTAACTTGTGATAATAAAGACCTCTTAGAAGCTATTGCCTTAGCAGAACACTAGCCTCTGCCATTCCTAGAGCTAAGAACACCATCAGAGAGCTCCATCGTGAGCCTGTAGAAAAACTTCCCCCATCTAGATGTATCTGATATGCACCCATCTCTGCATTTTGAACTTGCCTTGATTTATGACTTGTTTGTTCTGTAATCTATAAAAACCCTGTGAAACTGCTTCCACGTTGGAACGTGGAATTTGGGGAAATCTAAACCTGAGTTTCAGGGATGTGGTTACTCATAATGGCTCCAATAAACTATCGTGATTCCCTTTAAGAAGAGAGCTGTAGTTTTTACATTGACCCTGGTCCATTTCTCCTTCCCACCATCATGTGTGCTTTCCAACTTCTCCAGTCCTGATTCCCCACCTTTTGACTCTGACCGCCTTGGTGTGTGTGAAGTTCCTCTCCCAGGGAGTTTGGTGTGTGTTTTCTGGATCACTAGGCAAGCTGTTGTCATGAGCTTATTATTCATTTGTGGATATTTTTTGAGAAATGTCTACTCAGATCTTTTGCCCACTATAATACTGGATTGTCTACTACTGAGTTGCAAGTGGTATTTATATACTGTCGATACAAATCCTTCGTCAGATATGGTTTTCAAGGATTTTTTTCCATTCTGAGGACTGTCCTTGTAGATGTCGTCCTATAATTACAGTGTGGCCTTTTGGTGAAGGTACACTCACTGTTTTACTTTGGTGTAATATTTAAGACTTAACCAAATCCATGGTCATAAAGATTTTACTCCTGTGTCTTCTTGGGGTTGTGAAGCTTTTGCTACATTAGGTCTGTGTTCATCTTCAAGCAAAGTGCTGTATGTGCTATTGGTTGAACCCCAAGGGCCCCTGTATCAGCTACTTTTCCCTTGGTTGTGACGAAGCACTTGACACAGTGAGTCTAAAGAAGGAAGGGTATTTTGCCTTGCAGTCTGTTGTGGTGGGGGCAGGAGTAGGAGGTGGCTGGGCACACTGGGCTGGCAGTCAGGACACAGAGGTGGACACTGGGGTCAGCTCACTCTCCCCTTTTAATTCAGTCCAGGGTCAATAGAAATGGATGCAAAGCACACTCTTCCCCTTTGGTTAAAACTTTCTGAAAATTCCCTTGAACACACCCAAAAGTGCATTCCCAGGTGACTCTAAACCCAGTTAAGATGGCAGTGAAGATTAACCACCACACCCCAAAGACCCATGTGCTGACAACTTGTTTCCCAGTGACACAACTGGGAGGTGATGGAACCTTTATATGACCAGGGCCAGAGCAGAGCCTTGAGGACGTGGAGACAAGCCCTGGAAGGGGTTAGTGTAATCCTAGGTGTTCTCCATTCCTTAGCTTCTCTTTATGTTTCTATCCTGCTCAAGGCAACTGATGATGGACAGAAACCTCCAAAACTGTGACCCCAAATAAGCCTGTTTCCTTTCTGAGTCTTCAGTCTCATGTGTTCAGCAACAGAAGGTGGAAAGCAGTGTGAGAAGAGGGTCCAACTTCATTCTCCTGCTTTTGTATTCTGTGTCAGCGTGACTTGGTGAAAACTTTAGTCTTTCCATTGAATAAGCTTGGGTTCTTGTCAGAAATCAGGTATAGATGAATGGTTTGTCCCTGGACTGTGTGCTTGATCTACATTTCTTTCATCATTTTTAATTTTTATGTGTTTTATGGATGTGAGTACAAGCATGTGGGGCTCAGAGAACAACTTGGGGGAGTCTCTTCTCTCCTTCCACCATGTGGGTCCTGGGGATCAAACTCGGGTCATCAGGCTTGGAGTCAAGCACCTTGCCTTGCTGAACCCTCCTGCCAGCCCTTGGTCTAACTTTCTATCCCTGTACTCATAGGACACTGTCACTGGTTCCTAGGAAGCTTCTACACCAGTAGTGTGAGTCCCACCTTCCTTCCCAGGGTTGTTTCTGGCTGTTTTTGGAATCCACATGTACGGCTCGGGGCTGGCTTGTTGATGTGCACAAGCCAGCCAGCTGGGACTCTGTCAGAGCTCATGCTGGATCTCCATGTGGAGACGCCACTACAGCCTTCCCACCATCTCAATCCCTGCATTTATTTCCATTTTCTATTCCCTGATTCCTTCTTTCACCGACATTTAGGGCTTTCAGAGGATTAATTTTGCCCTTTGTTAGTGTCTTGCTACGTCTTTTATTCTTTCTGACATTATTGTTGATAAAAACTGTCACCTCAATTTCTGTATTAGATTGCCTGTTGGAAATATACAGAAATCCAGTTGGCTTCTGCATGCTGACCTTGTATCATCAAGTTCAACAGATTCAAAGCCCTAGAGTGGAAAAAGAACTTCAGAGTACACTGGCATCTCATGGAAAGGCTCAGGGGAAACCGAAGAGATGGTGTGATAGGGGTTGCAGGGACCTCAGAGGACCTGTCCTGTCCTTGGCTTTGTTTGTTTTAATTTTATTTCACATTTTCCCGCATATATATAATGAATTTTAATAACATTCACCCCATTACCCTCCCTTTCACCAACCAGCAACCCTCTCCCAATTAAACCCTCCCCTCAGACCATTTCTCTGGTGTAAGTGTCTGTGTGAGTGCGTGCATGCATGTGTGTGCATGCGTGCATGCGTGTGTGCGTGTGTGTGTGTGTGTGTGTGTGTGTGTGTGTGTACCCTTGCACCTCTGTGAGTTTAAAGGAATTGTTTCTGCAGAGTAATTGGGGGATATCTAATTCTGCCTACAGTGAGGAACAAACAGATCAGCATGAGGACTGGGGAGAGCTTGGCCTGATGGGGGAAATGAGAACTAGAAGAGGAGAGAGGAGAGGAAGGGATGAGAGAGAAGGAAGAGGAGAGGATGAGAGGGGGAGGGGGAGGGGAATGGAGGGGGGAAGCTGATGGGGAGGAGGGAGGAGAAGAGAAGAGAGAAGAGAAGGGGATCTAATGAGTATGAGTAACTGTGTAGAAGCTCTGTCTGCCATGGGAGGCCAAGCAGTGTGACAAGAGGTGACAAAGCCCTGAACTAAGAACCAATAGGAAGAGGGAAAGCATCTGTGGGTGAATTTAAGGTGCATTACATGTACAGTAAAGTTTGGGGCTTTTTCTAAGTAACTTAGGGTAAGTGATTAATCACAGGTATGTTGAAGACAAGAACGAATGGGTTTCATTGTGACTCAGGAAATTCAGAGTAAACTAGAGAGTCCAGGCTGGAATCTATTTGTCCTGGGACCACAGTGTCAGAGAGGTGAGCTCTGAGATCCTTGCTGTTGCTGAGCACACACAGCACATGGCTTCATGACAGGGACCAAGATGGCCACTCCAGCGCCAGCATCGCATCTCTACCAGAGCAGCAGACCGCAGAGGTGCAAGAGAAGAGCTCACCCTCTGCTTGCCACCCTCAGCTTGCCATCCTCAGTCTGCCAAAGCTATGTCTCAAAGTGCCTTCTCCAAAAAATTATTGGGTCACACATAGTGGGAAAGAGGTCGGGTCATGTTCCTATGCCAAATAACCAACTAGAGTGTGGGCATGTTGTGCTCCTGCATAGGTCTGTGATAGGCCTTCTGTGTACAGGAGGGGTTGCTTTACTTGGGGTTTTTGTGGGACTCCTAACAGTGGGAGCGGGGGTCTCTGACTCTTTTGCCTGCTCATGGGACCCTTTTCCTCCTACTGAGTTGCCGTGTGCAACACTCATATGAGGGTTTAAGCAGTCTTATTGCATCTCGTTATGCTGTATTCAGTTGATATCCCTGGGAGCTTGCTCTTTTCTGAAGGGAAACAGAGAAGCAGTAGTAGATCTGGGGGAGATGGGTGGCTCAGGAGGGGACACTGGAGAAGGGCAGGAAGGGGAGGCTGTCAGCAGGATAAATAGCATGAGAGAAAAATAAAAATGAAAAAAAATAGCTGTCCAGCTCAAGGTATCACTAACCAGCAGCTTCCATAGCCAAGTGTCTACATGATTTAATCCAGTTATAGGACAGGGCTTTACAGTGAGCAATTAAGGTTTGGTTAAGGAATTAACTACTAATGAGCCATTAATTCTAAACCACTATTATACAGTTAACAAGCTGAGCCCTGATTTTTAAGAACCAGTTCTCAGCAAAGGGTCTACAGTAGCTACAAAACACACCATGGCTCTGCCTTTCCCAGGCCGGTTAGTACAGTAGCTAGGCACACAGTCACCATGAACTGTTAATTAATAGCATCTCCACGGAACTCTTTCTCTGCACACCCCTGGGGAGGCAGGGGTTCCTTGCACAGCCTAAGAATGTGCTGTGGGTGGGGAGTACTGGACCAGAGCCAGAGAGGTGGGCTGGGGTAGGGCTGAGGTGAGGTTAGGCTCTGAGGTAGGGTAGATGGAGACATCACCACCAAGGAGGAGCCCCAGAGCTCAAGGGTCTGCAGCCTGGAGGTGGTCATTGTACACCATGCACAGGAAGGGTGTGCTCATTTGCAACTGGGCTCTGGCAGTTTCTGCACTTTCAGTGTTAGATCTAGGAAGGGAGATTGGCTTTGCCAGGTCCTAGATGAACTAGGATGGAGGGCGGGACTTGCAGTTTGATGTTTTCCATTTCTGCAGCTATTAAATACATGGTTAAAATAAGTAGAGGATACCCTGAATTTGGCTGCCAACCTCTGGCTGAAGCTCTGTCCCTCTAATCCATCTCACTTGCCCCAGACATGGCCACTTACTGTCTCTGGTTCAGATACATCTGGACAAGACTCAGTACCAAGGGTCAGAAAGTAGGAAGGGCACTGTCTGGGGCCACAGCTCACAATCCCAGGGCTCTGCAATGCCACTGCTCTCTGCACCCTGGGATCTGAGGACCTTTGACTGGAAGACACTTTCCCTGGGGGATAGATTGGGCATCATAAGCCTAGAGCCCTGACATGGTGAGAAATCGAATCCCTGAATGCACAAACTGGGGTCTTGGGGTAGGTGGGAAGGGTGTGGCCATCTTGACTGCCCTTCTTTGCAGTCCATTCTGAGGCTCCCTTCTCTACTCTCTTGGGGTCTGCACAGCAGCCAAACACATTCTCAAAGCAGAAAAACCCAAGTTCCCCTGCACCTTCTGGCCAGGACAGACCTGGTGTTCATCTTCAGGGTGGGGGAGGGGCTCTCCAGGTCTTCCTCTTAGCATGAACAGCCCTGCCCCCAGACCCAGCCCCAGACCCAGCCCTGCCCAGACCCAGCCCAGCCCTGCCCAGACCCAGCCCAGACCCAGCCCAGACCCAGCCCAGACCCAGACCCAGACCCAGACCCAGACCCAGACCCAGCCCAAGCCTGCCTCCATCTGGGTTTCATCTCAGCACTCCCTTCCTCCCCTCAACTCTGTAAACTATTCCCAACTGGCTATTGCTTTCATTTTATACTAACGGCTTTGCTTGAGCCAAACCTGCACTAGGTGACATCATTTCTTGAGACAGTGATGGAGGAGGACTGGGGAAAACTTCCATTCAAGGTCATCGAAAACCTTCCTCTACCCCAAACAAGACCCATCAGCCTAATTTAGGAAGCTTAAGCTCCACCCTAGCCAGAGCCTCTTTGACCTGCAGAGCTCTGTAAACCTGGAACTTGAGCGCTGGTCCAACTACTAGAAGTCACTGGGGATTTAGTCACTTTGTGGCAAGCTGCTGCTCTCTCAAGTCTCTGTTGAGTACTAGATTCCCTCCACACACCTGCATGGACAGCGGCCAGTGACTCTTCCATGCTCAGAGCCAAGGGCCATCAGGAGATGGGGGCCTCTCAGTCTCCTAGGAGGAACCGCAAACACTCACTCGGCCAGCATCCACCCTTCAGTTTCTAATATGGCTGAAGAGCTGTCCTTAGGAACTGAAACAAGGAGAACTCAGGGCCTCTGGCTGTTTTCTCCATTCTTCTCCACATATATGTTTTTGTACAACCACTCCCAAGTAGCCCACTAGTTTCCCGGGAGAGTGGTGTCTCCTAAGTCACCTCTGGGACTAATGGAGTCAACCACACCCATGTTTCTGAGAGAAGTCTTTGGAAATAACCACATCATTAGCTGGGCTTCAGATACTGCTCAACAGTAGAGCACTTGTTTGCAGGTTCAATCCCCACAACACACACACACACACACACACACACACACACACACACACACGGCCTCTTATGCACAAGCATTCTTCTAAGAGATTTGCCTCTCCTCAAGCATCACAATGACTGTGTCAGGAAGGCACAGTTGGCCGCATTTCATAAGTGGGAGGACACAAAGGCATTGTCCCAGTTTACACTGTGCTGTGTGGGAGCTGTCCTCTGGGTGTGGCATGGATGGCAGGTGCCCTCTTGAAGCAGCTGTGATCCCCTGCAGGACACCTGCACAGAGTGGTTGTCTGCCCTGGAGGGACAGGGGCTCCCCAGGCTGGCCCCTTCCCAAGGATTTATACAGCTGATGGTTGCTAAGTGGGAGAGACACATGAGGGGTACATTCATTGGCAGTTAACAGTTGTGGAGAGAAAATGTTTGAATTATTTTTATTATGTGAACAAGTATTTTGTTTCTGTATATCACCAGGCATATCTGGTGTCAGAAGGGAGCATGGGACCCCCTGGAACTGGAGTTACAGATGCTCATGAGCTGCTACGTGGGTGCTGGGAGTTGAATTCAGGTCCTCTGGAAGAGCAGCCAGGTCTCTTAACCACTGAGCTGTCTCTCCAATACCCTAATTAATTTTCAAAGTGCACAGCATTGTATATGTTGTTGGCCCAATCCTGTAAATAACGCCAGTCAAACACTTTGTTTAGTGAGCCAAACACTAGTTTCTAAGTGTTGAAACTGGAACAAGCAGATGGGCCAGGTACTTCAGGATCACAGTGCAGTGTCACAAAACCTCCCAGAGTAAGTCTCCTTCGTTTCACTGAGTCAGGACTCAGGACACTGCGTGTGGACACAACAGACAGGAGACGGCAGATGGAGGTATCGGAGGCAATGAAGATGCTGGTGGTTCGTGGGCTAGGTCACAGTTCCAGGGGTGGGGTGCTCAGAGAAAGGTTAGGCAGGTGCACTCAGCTTGGACAGTGAAGCTAAATACCCTGGGAATGAGTTGCTCCTATTGAAATCAGGACATGGGCCTGTGAGACGTGTCAGTGGGTAGAGGTGTCTGCAGAAAGGTCTGGTGACCTGAGGTCTATGCCTGGATCTCACACTGTGTCCATTGCCTTCCACACACAGGTAGCGTGGGTGTATACACACACACACACACACACACACACACACACACACACACACACTTTAAACCTGGGCATTAAAGGATGGAATAGCAGATGGGTTAAGCTGACAGAGCCTGACACACAATCCATTCTGTAAGTTCATTTGTTTTTCCTTGCTTAGAGACAATCAATCATTTGTCACACTCCATTTCCCCAGAGACATCCTAGTAAGGAAAGATACAGGTGTTACTCCTTACATCTTGAGAAGGCAACTTCATTTCTTGCGCACACTCTGTGCAGGTCTGAGCTACTGATCCTGGTTGTGTGCCTCAGATCCTACAGGACGAGGACTGGATTCTACCCTATGGCAGCCTCCGGGTAGTTGACACTGGTGGGTTCCTTCAATCACGAGTGTTCCAGGAATAGAACTGAGAGAGAGGAGAGGCTATTGCATAGGTGTGATCTTCTGCCTTGCTTCTAGCAAGACAAAAATCATAACCACATGAGATCCCATTTGCCTTTCAAGTCTCCGGGTGAGGTGGGGTTCATTTAGAAGAGGAAAAGAAACTGAAAAGCCCCACACTAGGCTAAAGACCCAGGGCCAGCAGCTGGTGAATGCTAAGCCTCCGAGCTGCAAGGTCCCTTTGCAAGCAGGGTCAGGCCTGAAAAGGAGGTCACTGGTAAAGGGGCAATGTAGTGGCTGTCCAGGAGGGAATTCTGGACTCCCCTTGCCCCAGGACTTAGATTTAGGGAGAACTGCAGTGGCTGAGACAGGGGCATTCCTCCCCTGTTCCACAGCCAGTAACATACCAGGAAAGGAGAGTCCGCTTTCCCAGAGCCAGAGGGGGGTACACTCGCTCTTAGCAGAGCTCTGGCTTGGGGGATGCACAGCTAACTGGAGAAAGAGTCTTCTGGTCAATCTTTAACTCATGTTATCACTTTGGGTGAGGGCTAGCACCAGGCCGGTGACCAGCAGTGATCTGAGAGAGTCTGAGCCCAAGGCCACCTGAAAAGGGAGGGGCTTGGGGGTCCTCTGGTCCCACCTTATAGAGTGGTGTACCTGCTTCCCTCTGGGTCAAATTGGCTAGGGCCACTGGCTAGTGACAAGTAAGTGGGAACACAGGTGCAGCTAGACCTTAGGCTGGGGACCTTACAGAGCCCGGAAGGGCGAGTCTCCCTTACAGCAGTGCTCTAGGAGTTTGCTCCCTGTGTTGCTCTCCTCACTCCCAGCTGTCCAAGACAGCTGTGTACCCGATCCCTACCTTAACCCTCGCGATGTAGTCGGTGAACATGCTTAGCCGGGCAACAAAAAATCTTTAATTTTCCTCCAAAATACTTTAAACTAAGTTTACAAACAGTTTCTTCAACTCTAAGTTTTCTGACTCCCTTTTCCCTCCATCCGGAACATCCCAGGTCAATATCCTTGGTCCCTCCTGGTGATGGGTGCTGATGCTTATGGGGAGCAGCTAGGAGCGGTGTGGCCAGGGGGACTTGCAGCTCGTCCCTCTGGTAACCCAGTTGGGGTTCAGTTGGCCTTTCTTGACAGTCAGGAGAAGGCGCGAGTGTCCCACCGGAGGCTGGTTAGTGGCCAGCAGCTGGACTAGCAAAGAGAGAGCGGCCACCCAGGCTGGGTGATCAGGGCTCGCATCACGCTCCGCAGCGCCTCTAGAGGGCTTGCCAGGGCTTCCCGATGGCCTGGATGTGCTCCTTGGCCTTCAGGCGCAGCGCCGCGATGCTGCTGTTGCGCGGGTATGCCTCTTCCAGCGAGAACTTGTCCCCGAATCCGGGCGCGCACGGGTATGCGGGCGGTGGCCCGAGCTGCTGCAGACCGGGGCCCAGGGGCGTGGAGTTCAGGAAGGGCGGCGGTGGTGTGTAGCTGGCCGGGAGGCCCTGCGCCGGTGGCCCGAAGCCCGGCAGGCTCTGCAGCGCTGTGGCGCCTCCACCCGCCAGGGGCGGCCCGAGCCAAGGCTCCAGCGGCAGGGCACTCCCGGGAGGTCCGCTACTGCCCGCGCCGGTTCCCAGAGGAGCCAGAGCCGAGGAAGGCGGGGAGCGACTGAAGGAGAGGAGGGGAGAGTCCTGCAGCTTCATGGACGACACTTCCAGTTTCTCCTGCCGCCTCCACTTAGCCCGTCGGTTCTGGAACCACACCTGCCAGAAGCATCACAGAGCAGCCCTTCAGGCTAGGGCTAAGCGCCGCAGAGTGAAGTCCCCACCCTGGGCAGGCCTGCCAGCCTGATCTCACCGGTTCCCCTAAATAATCCTGGGGCTGGAGTAGCCCTGTGCTCAGAAGTTCCTTTACCTCCTAGGTCTTTCCCCACTCTGGCCTTGTACTCCAGCCTTTCTTTCTGTTACATTGCTCTCCTTTTTTGTCGACATCCTCTCTGGCCCCCACGTCTCTTTGTCCCACCGCATTCCTCCAAAGCATCCCCTGTCTCTCCCATATCCGTTAGAGAACAGTGAATCTGACTGAGCGGCTAGACCGTAGGACTTTGAAAGCGGGCTTCTGGGGGCCCTTTGGTTGGCCGCCCTTCCCGATGCTTCAGTGTGGGATCTGGCTTCTGCTCTGTGTGGTGCAGCTCTCGATTGCTGCTTCAGCCTGTTTTATCTGCCCCCTTTCTCTGCTGTAAACGCACACACCGGCACACACCACACACCGGCAGCTCCCATGCTAAAAATGCAACTGTTTCCCCAGGTTTCATTGACCTCGTGTTTATTTCAGTCGCTGTTCTGATAATTTCCAGGCTTTATTTAATTGGTGCCTGTTTAGTATTCCTGGGGCTCCTATAAATTACTTTCTAAGATTACAATTGTTTAAGTGTATTATATCTGCTTTTATATTGCAGAGTTTTGCTGTTTCCCCTCATATGTTGGCTCATTGTACAAAGGGACTTCTCTTCCTTCCTCCCTTCCTCCCTCCTTTCCTTCCTTCCTTCCTTCCTTCCTTCCTTCCTTCCTTCCTTCTTTCCGCATAGGGAAAAGTCCCTGCCTAGAACACCGTGGTCCCTTGCACTGGATCCTCCATGATGCAAGCAGGAGAAAGGATGACACAATACTGTTTTACCACACTGCACTCATCTACAAAACAGAATCTGGTGTTTGTTTGTTTTTGCTTTGTAAAGACAATGGAAGAACTTTGGACAAACTGGTGTGCTTAAGGGTTGGGTTTATGAAGAGAGCATGATGGCATGGACCAATGGGGAAAGTGATGTAAATAGGAGCGCACAGAAGGGGAAAAACCAGAATGTTGAGGGCCAAGGATGTGTGACCTTTGAATTGGGAAGAAAAAGAGAACAAAATGTATCTCCACGCAAGGCACCAAGCCACTGGGGAATATTAGATGTTTGCCAAGAGTAGAAAAAAGGAGAAAGAGTCTGGGGGGAGGGCTGTGCCTCTTGAAATTCCCTGCTCCCTACCTACAAAATTAGTTACAGCCCTGGCTCCAGTTTTTAAGGCTGTATGACTGAAGACTGGGATAGCTGGCTACCTACTGCTGCCTTTAATCCTGTAGGAGAGCCTCATAGTCCCCATCACACCATCTGATGAGGTACTCACATGGGGAGAGCAGTTACATGCTGGTTCCAGGAAAGCTACAGACCCCGCTTCTAAGAACCGCAGGAGTTAGTGGAGAAGGTAAAAACCACTGAACAAGAGGGGTATATGCAAGCTTGGAGTGAAGGGAGCCCCAGGCAGCCTTGCCTGCCCGTGTTCTGTATGCCGCTGGGATGGCCCGATGGATTCTTCTCTGTCTTCATCTTCCGTTCTTTCTCTGTACCTATTCCCCTTCCCTGGGCAGCAAGTGCTGAAATTTCCAACTTTTAATGAAAACCATAGACTTCCAGTGCAGAACTAGGAAAAACTGAACTGTCTTTGGTAGTCAATCCCAAACCAAGTTAGGGAGCTCTCTGCCTTACACTTGCTCCTGGGCTCGGGGTTGCCTAACCATGGAAATAACGCACTTTCATGACTGCTACCCTACACTTTCAATCAACCCTAAGCAGAAAGACAAGAGGCACAGGGCCTTGTCCTCCTTTACTTTAAAGACAGAACTAAAAGTGTCTAGTGTCCAGAGAATCCCCGTTGCCTGGAAATCCTACTAGACAAAAAGCCCATCTTGGTTCCATTCTCAACAGCATTGAATCTGTTCTCACTGTCTCCCTCCCAGGCCCCCTTGTAAATGCTTTCAATTTGGAAGCCCTCCCAGATTTTTCACAGATGACTAGCAAATATTCAAGGCTTCCAAATATTTTAATGATTGGGGATTAAAGAAATTCAGCTTTAATTAAAGCGAAAAGTCCCTCACGATAAAAAGGGAAAAGTCGGTGTAAAACGAAGGAAAAGTCAGTTTCTTAAATCCGTCTAAAGTTTTAACTGGCAGCTTACCAGGAAAGGGAGTTTTCATTTTGAGACCGTGCGCAGTTGGTGACAAGGGTGGCAGTTGGGGGGCCTCAATCCAATGACCCCCTGATGTTACTTTCATGCGCCCATTCGCTGTGCCTGCAGCATACCCACAAACCCTTTTCTACTTCATCTAATGAGCTGTCAACCCCTTCATCTCCCAAGCGATTGCAAAGTCCTTTTAGTTTAAGTCGGGAGCCCCCTCCCCAAAAGGGCACATCTTATTGAACCGTGCTGCTCAAAGGGTGGTACATGGGGGGGGGGGATGTCCAAGATCTTAGACACTCCTGGCCTCTGGGCTGCCTAACCATGGAAGGAACACACTAAATAAATGCAGTTTAGACTTGGCCCTCCCAGGTGCCTGTCCATCAACCCTAGAGCTTACCTGAACCCGAACCTCGGGTAGGTTAACTTTGCCCGCCAGCTCCTCACGGCTGTACACATCGGGGTAGTGGGATTTCTCGAAGGCCCGCTCCAGCTCGTGCAGTTGGTACGTAGTGAACGTTGTGCGGTTGCGTCGGTGCTTCTTCTTGGGAGGTTCCTCCTCCGGCAGCTTCGAGTCACCTGCTGTTGGTCCAACCGGCAGTCCTGGGCTTGGCCGTGCCTCTCCCTGCTCCTTGGGGTAGCAGGGGCGAGAAGCTGGGACAACAAGGCCCCAGGGGGTCAGTGACATTCGTCCTGGAGGCTCAGTAGCCTCCCTGCAGCCCTAGGCCTCCCAGTGGCGCCTGAGCTGGCCTGAGGAGGTCCTTGATGGAAGCTATGTGGTGTCCCAAATATTTCTCTAATCTCAAATCGGGCAGCCCCCAAACCCACTGGAAAGGTCAAGGAAAAGGAGCTCGTGCCTTGCAAAGCGCTCCAAGGGCTTCACAGGGGTGCTGCGCACTCACCTTCATACTCCGGGACCAGCCCTGGGGCTGGCGGTGGGGAAGACTCAGAGCCTTCGGCTGGCGCCTTGGGGCAGGCGGGCCGCGCCCCCAGCCTGGGATCCCGTTCCTTCGCGCCCCTGGAACCCCTCTCTGCAGGAAAGGGGTCTAGGATCCCGTCGTCCTTGGTAAAGCCCAGGATGGCCTCAATGCTGTGCAAGCGCGAGGTGCTCCCGCCCGGGCTGCGAAGCAGGTGGCCAGAGAGCGAGAAGCTCCCGTCGGTCATGGCTGGTGCGCAACCGGGCAGGTGCATGGGGAGGCGGGCGTGCACTTTGCAGAGTGAAGCTCGAGGCCGCTGTGCACTTCTTGAGCGACTGGACAGGTCCGACCAAAGCCAGACTCGGCAGGCACCGGCTTGGGCAACTGCTCTGGAGATGAGCTAGCGCTGGATCAGTAGTCGATCGGACCGAGGCAACAGCGAGAAGTTTGGCCTCAGGGTAACAGGGGCTGTAGAGCAAAAGACCAGCCGCACTCCGGTCCTGATCCGGGACTCCTCCTCCTCCTCTCCAGACCCAGCCCTTTCCCTCGGCCCCTCCCCCTACAGAGGGCGGGTCTTTCCACGGTTAAGCCTAGGGTCCTAGGCAGGCCACCCAGGCCTGCGGGGAATGCCCCTCCATCTGACTTCTTCATCTATTTCAACTCCACAAACGTTTTCCAGGTACCGGGACTAGGAAGTTTGACAGGTGGGGCATCTCTCCCCACAGGACTAGTCTCACCAGGGCAGACTTCCCGAGTGGGGTTCGCCTCTCCCCTTTTTGTGTTCACCTGTCCCGCTTGCCTACCTCCTCCCAGAACTTTATACCCTGGACTGCTCTGTGTGGCACTTGGGAGCTCCAAGCGCAGCCAAAGGCTTTCCAGCTATACCTGGGCGTTGAAATTTAGCTCACAGGGAAGTTTGAATCTTCCCTTTTCTTCCCCTCGTTTCTACATCGATGCGCCCGTGCTTCGAAGTCTTAGAAGGCAGACTTCTTTGGTTGTGTCTCTTTTTACTTCTTCCTGCACCCTCGGATCACCCTCGGATCAGCAACTTCATTTCAGAGCGAATTGCCCACAAAACCAATGACCTCAACTATGGGAGATCCCAGGACCCTCAGAAGACACACAAACTTTCCTCTCATGGGCTATCTGCAAAGGGCAGGGTCCTTAACCGAGTTACAGTGATGAGCAACCCTAGTCTTCTCTCTCTGCCCCCCAGGCTAAGCAGATGACGCAAAGCTGGTTTGGTCCGGGCATTCGCTGGGGAGGAGAAGGTCCTAGCGCTTCCCTGAGGGTTAGCGCCTTAATCCGCTTGTGTTCCTTCCCCCTTGGGGGCCCCTTGAGGCTTGAGTGACCCAGAGTGGCTCAAAGACTCAGCAGGAAGATGATTCCTAAGGGCCTCGTTGCTGATGGGCAACTGTGACCACTGTGCCCCTCAAAGCTGAGGGTTAGACCCCGGGTGATGCCCGGTTTCACTAAGTGTTAGTCTGAAGGAGGCGAAAGGTTTCTGCGGAAGACCCCCTCCCCCAGGAGCTGGGGACCTGTGTTCCCCAATTCCACCTTTCTAGGCTCTCAGGTCTCCACCAAGACAGACTTCTTTATCCCTACTTTTCTGATTCCTTCTGCAGGACCAACACTATCCTGAGCATGGTCACAAACAAACCCCTATACAGCCGGCTTCCACGAATTTAATTTCCAGGCCGTGAGGTAGTTGTCGTTGGGTTGAAACTAAAATTCTGGCTCGGGTTAGAAAGTTTTAATTTTAAGAAAAACCTGTTAGGACTGAAGATGTCACTCAGAGTAGAGTAGAGCATTTGCCTAATAATGTTCATTCCTGGCACCTGTTAAAAGAAATTACAATGCAAACATAAGCTAAATTAATGAAAATAAGTAGCACTCTAGAGTTTTCAAACTGTGCATTTTTTTTTCTGGCGATTGGATCCTAGACATCCTGTGAGTGAACGGGGTAGGTCTTCCTGAAGAGGAAATGATGCTCAAAATGAGACAGTCAGTGGATACGCAGGAGGACTAGATCCGAGCAGCTGATTCCTCAACCCGGAGTTTCTGGGGGCATCTAGCTTGTAGCTATCATTGCAATGTGAGACTTTTAATTGAATCAAAGTGCCTCCTAGCTTGTAGGCCATCTTTGATCTCTGGGCAGCGCCCCCCCACCCTGAATCCTGCAACTCTGGGACTGAGGGGGGAGCATTTAGTTCAGAAAGAAATGAGATCCCAGTCCCTAGAGTATTTTCTTTGAGCGGCCAGTCCTGTGAGACTGGAGCCTTGGGGAGGCTCCTGAAGCTCAGGCACTCCCTGATCCTGCAAATGGCCTAATGGGTACTCAGTTAGGTAGAGCCAGTGGCTGAGGCACTGAGGCAGAGGGCAGATACCAGAATAAACCGTCGGTATATGTTCTTTCCCTTTGGGCAGGATGCATTTTCCGTAAGCTTCCCCATAGTAAATCTATCTCCCTAACAGCAGAAGAGAAAAGTTGCAGCGTTCCTTAACCTGCCCCCAAGATGCTCCTTACTCTCTTTCCAAAGTTAATGCCTGCTGGAACTACCCAGCTCTGCATAGCTCCAGGTGAGGTGAGCTTTTGTTTACTGTTTATCAGAGTCACTGGAGACAGGCAGGGAGGACTTTAAAGGTCCTGGTGAGGCCTGAGGGCTGGGGCCTGCCTTTGTGTGGTGCATAAAGAGCCAGTCAGGACCATTGTGGGCACAGTGGAGGGTACTCCAAGCAATCAGCTGGGGGTCATTGTTAGGAGCTAATCTACATGTGTATTTCCCAAGAACTCGATTAGAGAACATGAATGGACAGACATGTCCCTAATTCTCCTAGCTGGAGCTGTGGTTTCCAGCAGTTAAGCTAGTTCACAATCAGCTCTGCTTCAGCAAAAGTGGGGAGCCTGGCTTCTGAACTCCCCCTTTGTTTAATTCATTGGTTCATTAGATGGATCAGAGGAGGCTCCCTCTTCCCAGCCCCCACCTGTGGCTGACTTAGCCACAGTGCTCTGTGCATCTTGATGATGCTCAGAGGTAGCACTGGCAGATGTGTGGTCTGGTGGCAAGTGGATGCTATTATCCTGGGTATATGTACAGGATCCACTTTCTGGAAGTGTCCAACACGCATTGTGTCTTAGAGTGTCGATTGTTGTAAAGAGACCCCATGACCATAGTAACTCTTATAAAGGAAAACATTTAATTGGGGCAGCTTACATTTTCAGAGGTTTATTCCATTATCATCATGGCAGGAGCATGGTGATGTGCAGGCAGACATGGTGCTGGAGAAAGAACCGAGAATTGTACATGTTGAAACAAAGGCAACAGGAAGTGAATTGGGACACTGGGCGTGGCTTGAGCATATATGAGACCTCAAAGCCGACGCCCACATTGAAACACTTCCCCCAACAAGGCCATACTTACTGCAGCAAAGCCACATCTCCCAATAGTGCCACTCCTATGACTTATGGGGGCCAATTACATTGAAAACTACCACACACTGTTTCAGTCACTACACTCTAAGAGATGGGCATCTGTAGAGGGGCTCTCTAGTGTGAGACAGGGAGTCAAGGCCATTCTGCCCGGTCTCTAGTAACTTTTTCTGTCAAGTGTTTGAGTTAAAGAGAAAAAGTCAGAGTGTGTAAAGCCAACTCAGTCACCTACATGTAGATTAGCCCTTCAGCTGATGCATTTAATCCTAGAACATTCCAACCTCTGTCATACAGATACCCAGGAAACACCTTTACTCACTACTTAATACCTGTTCAGGGTAAGTAACTTCACTTTAGCTTTAGCCAAAGCAAGGTACAACTTAGACTGTCATCACACACACACACACACACACACACACACACAGAGAGAGAGAGAGAGAGAGAGAGAGAGAGGGAGAGAGAGAGAGAGAGAACTGTGTACTTCTCATTTCAAATTAGTGAGTTAAGTATAAAGCAAACAAAAGAATAAATATTGAGCAGGATAGAGAGAAGCATCAGACAGCAAAACATCATCAAATCGGGAGCTCCCAACATTCAATAGTATCTTAGGGTTTCTGCTGCTGTGAAGGGACATCATGACCACAGCAACTCTTATAAAGGAAAGCATTTAATTGATGCTGGCTTATAGTTCGGAGATGGTGCATGCTGGGGAAGCATGACAGCACACAGGCAGACGTGCTGTTAGAGAAGTAACTGAGAGTTCTACATCTACATCCGTAGGCAGCAGAGAGAGACAGACAGAGAGAGAGACGGAGAGACAGAGAGACAGAGAGAGAGGGAAAGAGAGAGGGAAAGAGAGAGAGAGACAGAGAGAGAGAGAGATCAGGAGGCCTGGCATGAGTTTCTAAAACCTCAAAACTCACTCCCAGTGACACACTTCCTCCAATAAGTCCATAACTACTCCAACAAGGCCATACCTCCTAATAGTGCCATTCCCTATGGACCTATAGAGGCCATTTTCATTGAAACCACCACACAATAGAGACACTGGAGTAGCCCAAGTGAGACCTCAAACAAGATAAAATAATTAAATCAGGGCTTACAAACACTCAGCATAAATCAACTTTTGGGAATGTATGGCCTTGGTATAGGTGGTAAATGTGCTTCTTATATACAAGTTTACCACTCACTATTACAGACTGAACATTCTCTATTAATATTTTTAGGCTAAACTGAATTGAATGTTGGTGTACACATTGAAATGAATAATAACCCCATTACATACTTGTGCCCAAGTCATCATGAGCCAATGAGAGAAGCAGTTCACAGCGGTGTTTCTGGCTCACACAGGAGCCTTGTAGGTACAGACCTTGAGGGAGCATCAGCATCGGAGCAAAGGGCAATTAGTAACTGTAGTGCTTCCCAGAGGAGGTAACACCCTGCTCCAAACACTTCCCTTAAGCGAAAACAAAGACCATAGGTCTCTGCAGACCACCTGGCCAGAGGCAAGAAACTTGTGCTCAGCCACTTCCCATGGCTCCCCAGACACAATCATTTCGGAGCACACTGTGTGGATGGCATGCTATGTAGAAGGGACACACACCCTGGGGGTCCCCTTGCTCTCTTCTCTTACATGTGGCACCTTCCCTTGTAGATGCAGAAAGGAAATGATTTACTCAGGTGATTCAGAACATGATAGTCAGGGTTAGACTAGGAGGCTCGAGACTCTCAAGGTCTCCAGGAATTCCCACGGAGGGACTCAACACTTGCTCCAGAACCCTCAGGCTCTCACTGGGACATCTCATGGTTGCGTCGACAGCATATCTGTATTGGCTTCTCAAGGTGTATACCTACTGTGCACACACAATGAGATAATTCTTTACACTGCACCCCAATTGTTTACCAACCTGGTTGTTTTGTTCCTGAGCTTACAAGACCAGGGAGTTTCTATGTAATAAAATTCCACTGACAATACGTTTACATGGCATTCGTTAGTGTGTTGGGACCCATGCCCAC